AAACAATATAAAACTATATTTATATAATATAAATTTTTGAGTTACAGCAGCGAAATAAAACGTCGATTTTGTCGAAAACTTTATAATGCGTAAAAATCCTCGTTTTTYGTTATTTTTTTGTGGTTTTTACTGATCCTTTTGAAAACTACTGGACATTRTTTACTTTTGACACCCCAATGCTCCAACTAGATGAATTTTCCTTTTCAAAGAGAGGCTGAAGTCAAAAATCAAAACATTATTTCTACTMCAAGACGTGATGACAAATASACAAAAAAACACATACATCATTGTAAAATCAATACATCTCTCACTTCGTTTAGAATCAAAAAAATATATATATAAATAACTAGGTAGTCTATAATATATTTTACAGTTTTTCTTTTGTTTTTTTGTAATAACTATTATACTATAGAAATTAGGTACAATATTTTCTTCATTATCCTTGATGAATACCTATATTTACTATTTACAATTTAAACAAATATTTAAACTGTTGATAAACCATRAACATAACAGACACACAACTAAACAATGTGTATAACTTTTAGACGTTATTTTACATCAAGTCATGTAGGTATACCTTATACCATACACCCGATAAACATGTTTAGGTACCTGAATACGCGGTGATCGGTTATAATTTATAGTTATTGGCGTTACCGCACTACTACAGCTACAGAGTGCACAAATACCTACAAATTGTATAAATACGTGCTATAATATAATAATATATTAATATTTGTGTAAATTCTAAATGAATAATACGAAGATTTACGGAAAATGATGAATCATTATATTAGGTACATTATAATTGCAAATATGAACAAATGAAATCATTCACATCACATTTATATACGTATATTGYATATATACTAATAGTACTTAATTTCGCCATAATACGGCGATGTAGTATACATAGTTAAGTTGGGTTGAATTTTGGTAGCGGCAAGCCTATTTATTATGTATACATCACTTATTTACACATTCACACGATTTACACCTTTAAAATTATATATACCATACTCGGTTACTATGTAAATATAACAAATTTTAACAATAATGACGGTCGTATTACAGGAGTCAAGAGAGAAAATATTATGTTTATATGTTTTTAGAGGAAACATGTGAATAATATGTTCATCTTACCTTCACCGTATAGGCGAGGTTCATAATTATAAAAAAAGTTATAATATTTTGCTAATTTATAAATTAATTAAATATTATAATATAATCGTCAGACACATAGCTATGGATCATAGATACAAAAACTCATAGTATTTTATATTAAATGCAACCATCTTTACATATGCATAACGCGATATTATTATATTTTTAAAATCAGCTATACCTTACTAGTTCTATCATATTTTAATAAAGTGGATTTATACATTGWATAGCATTGTATAGCTAATGTATCTAGATTTTTACCTTGAACAGGAGAAAATAAATCCATTTACCCAAACAGAATACGTACTAATTTTTTGATAAAAATTTTTACCTTGTTTCCGATAAAACAATTATATCATAATCAACCAATGCAACATTACGGGCAAAAACATCAAGTTTGGTATTTATACCACGGACATTCTGATAATAAAAATACAGTTGATTTGATATAACATTAACATTGGGTTTTTCTAGTTTTTTGAGACAACAGGCAAATCGTTTACGTATTTGATGAAAAGATCAGTTTCCTCTGCAGTTTTTCTACGATTTAATTCACCAGTAACACTTTTTAGGTGTTTTYGTTGTTGYCTTGTTCTATCAGTAGATATACTCACAAGTTTAAAATCAATCGAACTACAAARWTTACGTTTGCTTTTTAAAGCGTCATATTATACATCAAGTTGATTTCGGTACAGAGTAGCTCGAATAGGCCGACATTAATTAGTAGTTTTACCTAAACGTATAATATTAATAGGTTCAATTTATATATATATTTTCTTAAATATATTTGAAATATAATTTTTATCATCAGAATTAGATTGATTGAGAGATTCAGGTAGGTATATTGAACAAAATTATATTGCGGCATCTAGACTGACAATCGGAAATTTCCGCAAAAGTATGTTCCTGATTTAAAGAAGTTGAGTTACTACTACCAACTTCAAGTTGAGATAYTTTAGACTCCAGATGTTCAATTTTAGTGGCAAGTGAGTTATTTTTAGCAGGAATCTCATCAAACTGCTTAGAGATAATATCAAGTTTACCCGTTTACCATCAATATCAGCAACTTTTATATCCAATAGTTTTCTGTCTTCACGAATAGAATGAACTGTAGTGATTAATTTGTTTTGAGTAACTTTAAAATCATTGATGGATTTAATAATTTTATCTAGTTTTTCAGATGAATTGTCAACTTCCATAGCAATAAAAATATATAAAATAAGAGAAAAGATCGAAAATATTTTAATTATAACTATATATAGCGTAATAATTATACTGCAATTAAATCGAAATTCATCATGGAGCGTACAAACAGGCACGTGTCAATGTGTCATTCGGACAGAGGTTGAACACGAAAGTTTATGATTCRTTCAGAAACTTGTCAAGTATTTAACAATACAAATAAAAGAGGAGTGTTGCTCTTTACTGTAGGAGTGCAGTGAGGTTATGAATTAAAAAATACCAGACTTGGCCACAATGTAGATTTCAATACTTTGATAGGCCGAATTTTTTGGGAGGGAATTTGGAACTTGGATTTTTTCACCATTAGGTTTTTTTTGGGGATACTTTTAATAACTAATTAAATATTTAATTTTTTCGACTTTTCTCTTTTGATGGCTAATCTGCACGCCGAGTACTTAGGTTAGAAACAGAAATCATGAAAGTCGGTCCAGTAGAACTTCAGATATATAACTGACATAAGAAATTGCTTCACGTTTTAATAATATATAAAAATTATGGATAGACGAAAAAAATATCATTGTAAAACTAATGAATTATTCGGAATTAAAATCGTTTAGATATGTTGTATCACTTGTGTCTATAGATATCTTTTTTATATTGTAGAATTTGGGCCGTTGGCCGTAGCCGTATAGTCATCTTGTATCTAAAAGTAAATTAAAATCTGATGTAATATACATATCTGTACATATTGTTTTTCAACAATCTCACCGATCCCTGCCACCGGAGTATACCAATCGATATCACAAGTAGGACATTCACAAAATATAGTACTATCAATCATAAAATACATAATAATAGCGTTTTTCTGCTAAATAACTAGCACACCGAGTCTATTTACGGCACACATACACTCATACATTTTCTTTCAATTCCTGTTCTACTTTCGTTGACATATCTAGCTTTGTTTGATTAATAATATAGGTAATATCTAGTTGCAGGCCAATTATTTTAATCAACTTAAGTCACACATACGACTCATACGAGTCTAACGAATGCTTGGAATAATTCAGGTCTCTATATTACTATATAGAGCTCCCCAAACTATAAAAACACACATCACCATAATAATAGCTAAATATACGAATCAGCGCCTTTTATATTTTAGTATTTTTTAAACATTTTATTACGACACATACGTTTATATATTTTAATATTACATTGGCTATAGCGTTATGACATAATATATTATAATACTTAATATAAACAGCCAGTATACCTAATAACTGTGTTTGTATTCACGCCCACGCGTAAATCTGACGGTGTCAAACACAATAATACTCATAGCAACAATAGTGCGCATTATTATTATAGACATTATATAGGCCACATGTATTAATGTAATTTACCGAGTGTATTCCAGACATAATAATTTAGATTGACGTATAAACAAAGTAGACATTTGTCCAGATGACCAGATCTCCGTACACATAGACGTATTTATGATCAACATTTTTTTTCTTTTGATTTGTATTATAAAACAGAAAATGTTTTGGTTAATGGTGTGCAGGGTGAATTATAATGGTAATGTCGGTGTAGAGAGGAACGAAAAAGCGGCCGCTGCGGCCTATGATAATGTAATCGATAAGATATGCGTACAATATGTCTATAAATTATTGAATTATATATTGTCAAACATAACTATCCCGATACGCTCACTCCAGCGTCGGCCCAAGATATGGACGCCCGGGGCGCTACTTTTTTAAGGKCGCTTTTAATATACGAATATTTTATAATTTTTAACGTAATATTTATTCGAATTCACAATAACATAGCTAAATGACTAAATTATCTATGACAGAATATTCTGTTATAAATGTTTTTTTTTTTTTATAGATTTTACTCCACTTATTTCCAGTTTTTATTATTATATTACAAATAATTAAAAAATAATATACAATGATATATATATAATCATTAACTCGGGAAAACCAAAAAAGTATGTGTTACAGACTGCAGCCGATACGTCCATAAATTATATCCAAATAAGTTTTGCAATCCTTTACCTATCCATAAATATAAGAATTTTAAACAAAATATGTAGTTAAGTATGAAAAGTAATAAATGTATTATGGAGCATTTGATTAAGGGGCGCCTTTCAATAAATTGTCCGGGGCGTCAAAATACCTTGGGCCGGCCCTGACTCACTCTGTATACGCATGTACACATAGTAATATATTATATATTATTTTCCTACGACGATTCAAACGACATTACGCGTCGTTTCTATGGCACGTTTGCACAGAATAACAATAACGAAAATAAATGAATTTAATACTAACTATACGATGATAATATACGATTAATATAAGTCGACGAAAACACACACTCTCATCTCAATCACACTCACACACACACACGCACACGCACACGCACACACACACATACACGGTGCGAGTTTTAAACATAACGTTTTTGTTATAGTCTGAAAGTAAGTTCCGGTAATAACAATAAAATAAGCAATAAGCAACAGCGTAGGCGTCAAATCGGGCGTACACGCAGCAGAGAACACGTCTCTTCTTGTCTTGTACGAGAGCGGCGCGCACACGGTAACCTATTGGTATTAACCATATCGTTGTTACCATACCATCATCATGTTCGGTATACTCGCGTTCATAACGGAAACGGCGCTGATGATGTTGGAACCGGTGTACCTGACGTACAAGGGACTGGAGGCGGCCGAAACGGGCGAGGGTAGCCTCGAACCGGACCAATGGCGGCGGCTGCTCGTCCACTGGATCGTGTACGGCGCGTTCCGGGCGCTGGAGAGCCTGGCCCGGCCATGGGTGCCGTTCTACGACGTGCTAAAGATCTGCGCCATCGTGTGGTTGCGCGCCGGCGGCTCGGAGACGGTGTACCAGACGGTCATCCGGCCGTTCCTGGCCGAACACGAGTCGGACATCGACATGTGGATCGATCAGCTGAACAACACCAGAAACACGGTGATGGCGGCCACCACGGTGATCAGCGCCGCCGTCACCACAGACCCCGACGAGCTCGACAACGGCGAGCCCGAGGAAACGGCCCTGTCGGAATCGGAGCCCGCCATTCCTGTGTCCGGTAGTCCAGTGGCCGTCAACCCTGCAGTGGCCGTTAGTCCTGCTGCAGAGGCCGTTAGTCCTGCTGCAGAGGCCGTCAGTCCTGCAGTGCCAGTAATTGCCGAGCCCGTCAGTCCCCAGCCGAACGAAGAACAACGTCGAAAGGATCAATGAACGATACAATTTTTTTTAACGATATTTCAATATCCGTTGTCGATCGTAAAAATCAATTTGTGTGACCCATTAATAAAGTATGAACATTACCTTTATAAATTTCTTTACCTTGTGTTCGGTGCGAAAACGCGAAATAAAGAGTATAATATATTCATTGTCGGCATGACCAGGTCAACGAGATGAGATCGCCGAATCGATTGAAAAAATATGTCCTAAGTCCCAAATCTTCTTCATAGTACCTATAAAGACAGGGTTGAGCACTTTTCAATTACAGTAATTCAATTACTTAAGTAATTTGTAATTGGTAATTAATTATAAAAATATTGATGTAATTTGTAATTGGTAATGAATTATTAAATGTTGATTTAATTTGTAATTGGTATAAAGAATTACAAATTTTCAATTTTGGATTTTCTACAATGTAAAATATATATGTATAAATTATACAGCACAAGTTATCGAACATTTGGCACTGATATTAAAAGATAATTTTATTATGAACATTACTACAAAATACAGATATTATAGACATGTAGACAGATATAATATTATACATTTATACTATCTTAATTGTCCATGTTTTATGTATAAATCGCCAATCGAACTGTTCAGTGTACAAATTGTACACTACGTTACGTACAGGCTTCAGTAACCATCTCATTGTCGTCCGTCACTGAATGCCTATATTTATCTAAGGTTTTTTTGATTTAATTTATAATTACACTTTTTTATATAATAATATTAACATTATTCAAAATTAATGTTAAGTTATTAATTTAATAACTAATAAAATTGTAATAACATTTTTAAATGTAATTGCCAATTGGTAATTGTAAGTAATTTAATTATATGTAATTTGTAATTTGTAATTAAATGTTCTACAATCATGTAATTAGTAATTTGTATTAATTACTGGTATTTTGAGTAATTTGTAATTAATTAGTTTTTTTTTGTTGATAATTTGCCTATCCCTTCCTAAAGACTTTTTTGTTTAGTCGGCCAAATGAATAAGTGATCTGTTCCTTGCAGGTAACCATCAAGAACACTTCGACACGGCTTTTTCGGCGTGAAGACATATTGGCGCTGGGCATTTCGGCGCGTGGATATCTTGGCGCCGCGGATATAATAATAATAAATTAATATAATTTTAAACATAAAAAATAAAAAATACTATTCTAATATTATATCATTATTTCAATATTACAATTTTTAAAGTACAAAAGTACAAAATAATTAATAATACATGATTACATGGTTAAACATATGATTTGATAATTATTAAAAAAAAAGATATAATAATAGGTAAAATGTATAGGTGTGTGGTAAACTGGTAAAACTAATATAAAACAAAAATTAATTAATAACATCCTAAAATTTCACGTACGCGATTTGAAAGTAAATTAGACATTTTAATAATTAAAATTAATAAATTTTGTACAGAAATTATGACACATCAACTATGAAACCGCGAWTGCTTTACAGTTGATACACTACACGTTTAAACAAACATTCATCGCTTTAACTGCTGTAGATACCTGTATTTTACCTATTTAATGGGTTTTTTCGTTACACGATAACAGCTATATTTGACTGGATTGTACTATTGAAAATTTTATTACGGTTATTTTACTCAATTGTATAATGTGTAGTCCATATTAAATAGGTGCCAACTAGCCAACTCAAAATTGTTATTATTATCAAGTTTTAAGAATATCTTTGTTTCAATTTTTAGCTTATTCAAGTTCTATTAACAGAGTCAGGCACAGAATATYGTTTTCTTCATTATTTCTCGTTTTATCACCTAATAAGTAATAATAATTATTACATCACTGGATTGTAATATTGATAGTTGTATTTAAGAAGAAAAACCGCGCTGAAATTTCCTCGCGCCATAACGGCCAGTGCCAAAATGGCTGTGCCGAAATGTCCTATAGACCCAACGTGACMATACTACGTCCCGCTTTCGAGATAAGTGTCCCGCCGTCCCCAAAGAACCTAAAAATGACCCGTTTTAAGAAAAGTCGATATGTGGTAGCCGGTAGGTATTAATTATTGATCACATATCACAATCATACATTTATACTGTATCTATACAGTTATACAGCTGTATCTATGACGTATACCTATATATTTTATATAAACTGTGAAACACTAAAATCCATAATTGTTGGGAGACTRTTATGATTAATATAATATTCGCATTTTTCATATAAACAATTAATGTTTTTTATTCAATAAAAAAAGGCGGGTAAGTCGTGAATGTCGCTCTGCTGTACTGTAGGTTACTGTAATGGATGGGMTTAAATTTGAATGCAGTGATAGGTATCATTGTATACGAAAAACGATTCTGAACGGAGATGATTTGTCAGTCTAGGATATATTATATTTAAATGTCATATATTTTATTTTGAAACAAATATTTTATTTTTCAATTAAGA